CAAACCATTTCCGTCCTTAGGCCTACAAGTGACAGTTAAGTGTAAACCTAAGGGCAGATTTAGGCTTACAACTAGCAGTTAAGTGTAAACCTAAGGGCAGATTTAGGCCTACAACAGGCAATTAAGTGTAGACCTAATGCTAGGAATAGTTGTCTAATACATGTATGTGTAAATAGTTTAAAATATCACAGTAAAACCTTACACATAATAAAAAGACGTAAGGAACATTATTTATTCCCAAAGAACTTTTAAGCCACACAGCTAATACGATGTAAAAAATCTAATATATTACACCTTCGCCTAACACTGTCCAACTTTCGAATTTATAATTTACTACAACTTTCGCTGTCTTCATTGGCTAGACTAGTGCTGCTCTATCCTATTATAACGTGAGCCTTAAAAAATCCACCCTATTTTAAACCTCGTTTAATTGATTCCACCATGTTTACACAGAAGATTGACTCGCGAAAGACCTTGAAATGTTCTAATTGGTCAGGACTTTCCACAGCCACTTCTGTCGTCATCAGGCATCAGGTTAGAAACAGCCAGTTCTGAAAACAGATATCAACGGTATTTTCATCGTAAGCAAGTTAACCCTACAAATCCGGCAATTTTTATTTTTGCAGTGGTTGTTGTTTGTTGAAGTTCATACAAAACTACACAAGGAAGGGCTACTGGCGCTAGCCGTCCCCAATTTTGAAGTGATGAACCGGGAGGGGGGGGTAATTATTCAATACCATTTATCGCATGCCCCAAAAGTGCGAAGAGGGGTTTAAGGATTGGCTAAGCACGTGATGTGAAAGTGACGTCATTCCTTGTGTAATATAATTCATAATTCATCATTAATTTAAACTTAGAGGAAAGCAATACTATAAAATCATGTTTAAATAGTTAGAAAAAAAAAATCATCTGAAATACTAAATGAATCGTTAATCTGGGTACGGGAGAAAACCAAAGAGGAAACAATAGAAACCACATTGTTACCTATTTTACGATCCCAACACTAATTAGTATCATAACTTTCGGGTTCCTAAAAATTCCGGGTATGGGGGAAAACCGAACAGGAAATAATCGAAACCATATTGTTATCTTTTAAGGTCACAACCCCGTTTAGTTTAGTGTCATACCTGTCCAATTCCCAGAAAATGTCGTAAAATGAGACAGTGAAATATGAATTACTGAATAAATTCCGTTCTGAGGAGATGACCAAGTATGATCCCACTCCGTGAGGAGATGACCAAGTATGATCCCCCTCCGTGAGGAGATGACCAAGTATGATCCCCCTCCGTGAGGAGATGACCAAATATGATCCTCCTCCGTGAGGAGATGACCAAGTATGATCCCCCACCGTGAGGAGATGACCAAATACGATCCCCCTCCGTGAGGAGATGACCAAGTATGATCCCTCTCGGCCATAAACAGTGGAATTTTCCTTGCAGATCAACCAAGTGCGTCATTCGTTATTTTAATCTATCACCTTAAAAGTAATAATTAGATAAATACGCTTCCAACAAGAATACTTACATATTAATAATATTATAAAATATGAAATTGTTTTAGAAAAAATGCAAATTAAAATCGGGTGCAAAGATATGACAGACTGTCGTATTTCCAGAGCCGCATTCTCTCTGAGGCTGTGATTGGTTGTTTCGCCTAGTCTTGTGTTAAAGTCCTGCCCAACCCTCATTCTAACTTCTATAGTAGCAATCACTCTCTTCACTCTTGAAATACACAGCTTAGCAAAAAAAAAAGCTTTAAACAGCAACCGTCAGTGTGTACAAGTTACCATGTGTAATATACACAGCTTAACAGAAAAAGCTTCAAACAGCAACCGTCAATATGTGTACAAGTTACCATGTGTAATATACACAGCTTAACAGAAAAAGCTTCAAACAGCAACTATATGTAATACTGTACAGTCTGTGTAACATGGATTACGACTTTCGCTCGGTATATTAAGCACCTCCAGCTTCTAAACAAATATGGCGCACAGTTTTTGTGGACATATAAACCAACATGGCTGAATTTCTTGCTACAAACTTGGCTTCCATATTAAAAAAAAACGTTCATTTGTACATAATGTTACTTACGTCACCGAACTGAGTAACGTTATTCAGTTTTTAATTTACAGGTTCTTGTTTTTGGAAGATCCTTCTCGCGCTTCTAATTCACAAGTTCAGACTTCTGAGAGGTCCCAATAGCATTTCTGATTCACGTTTTGTGATTTCTGCGAGGTCCCATTCTCGTTTTTAATAGATATATTCTTATTTCTCTGAGGTTTGTGATACGTCGGTTAATGTCAATGTCATGGAATTTTAAGGTTTAAGGCTTTATATTACAAATCATTAAATTCAACTTTCTTTAACGATAACAATAAAACATCTTTTACAATTTTCTGCAAATATCATAGAAATCGCAAACGATATTAGACACTCGTGACTTGAGAATGGTGTGAAATTTTAGATCGTAGAATATTTTAACACGGTGTGAAATTTTAGATCGTAGAATATTTTAACACGGTGTGAAATTTTAGATGGTAGAATATTTTAACATGGTGTCAAATTTTAGATCGTACAATATTTTAACACGGTGTGAAATTTTAGATGGTAGAATATTTTAACACGGTATCAAATTTTAGATGGTAGAATATTTTAACACGGTGTCAAATTTTAGATCGTAGAATATTTTAACACGGTGTCAAATTTTAGATCGTAGAATATTTTAACACGGTGTGAAATTTTAGATCGTAGAATATTTTAACACGGTGTGAA